CAATCCTTGCCCATTTAAAGCAGCCTCAAATACATCAGAATCATCAAGTATTGGTGTATCATCAATATTTTCTTTCAATGGAACAAAAGTTTCATCATCCTCACTAAACTCAACAAGGCTTTCACTGAATAACCCAATAAGATTATCATCTGCAACACTTTTATATGGTATAGATGTTCTTGGATCTTCTGTTGTCTGTGCAACTACTGGTGAGGTTGAAACATATGATGCATTTGTCATTTCAACTTAATTATCGATCATATTATTATTTGTTGTTTGATATACTCCAACCATATCAACAACATTGTCATCATCATCAAGTTGGATTATTCCAAATAATGTTTCGATTTGATGAGACCAGTTGTCGATAACTCAAACATGAAACATAAGCTCCAAGTTTTCTTTTAATTTTGTTCTTCATTTGGCGATGATATACATCTAGAGGAAACATTGTATTTATAGGCTTGGACGACTTAAACACAACACCAACACCAGTTTGTAGAATTTCACCATTATAATGGACAATTATGAAGATTTTTTGTCAATATTTGAAATAATTTTTTGTAGATTCAACAAAGCTTTAAAAAGTAGAAGTTGTTTTTCAGGGAGCATAAGTCAATTTATAAGACCCTATTGTAATATTTTAAAATCACATAGAATTTTAATTATTCATATCATTTTCTTGTACAATAATAATTTTAAATGATAGAGAATCTTATCTATTCACTTCTTTTTCTTTTCAATGATACATCACCCTGAATCAAAACTTCTTTCAAATGAAAAATCTTATCAGGTACAATAATAATTTCAAATGACAAAGAATCATAACTATTCACGTCCTTTTGTTTTCAGTGATGTATCACCTCAAATAAGAACTTTCATATTAAATGAAAAATATTATATGGTACAATAATAATTTCAAGTGATAGAAAATCATAATTATTCATATTCTTTTCTTTCAATGATATATCACCTCAAATCAGAATTTTCATATTGAATGAGAAATATTATATGGTACAACAATAATTTCAAATGACAAAGAATCTTAACTGTTGAGTTAATCGATCGATGGAATCGACCAAGAGGGGGTGAATTGGCAATTAAAAATATGGTGAAAGCTTTTGCAGAAAATTGAAATTAATTTGCACATCAATTTAGAGTGGTTCGACTTTCTCAACCAAAGTCTACGTCCACTACCTTAGCTATCCACACTAAGGATTTTCCAACAAATTCACTAATTTGTTCTTTCTTTTGAGGACAAAGAGATAACCTTACAACTCCCTCAAGAATATACTCAAATTCTTGAGAACACTCTTTCTCAAAGAGAAGATTACAAATTCGCAAACTTAATGAAAAACTTCACAAGGCAAATGTGTTTGCACAATTCTAGAACAAAGAAAGAACACTCAAGAATAATACAATTGAGCACAATAAGTGTTCTTGAAAGAAAAAAATGAATATTGAATAAAATAGGCTTGAAAATTCTCAAACTTGAGGTTTGCTACTTTCTATTTGTTTCTCTTTTGATTCTTGTTGATTGTTGTTTCTTGTTATTGATCAATGAATTCTAAGCTTGTTTAAATACTCATTCAATTGATTCTGAATGTTGGGGATGATTAGTGGAGTCAATGGAGCCGTTTAAGTATGAAAACAATTAATAAAACTGCTTGGAGCATAGGGGGAATCGGTACCCCCTCATAGGGAATTGATTCCCTTAGTGTAAAATTCAAATATTTCGACCGTTGAACAGGGGGAATCGGTTCCCTCCAAGCATTCTGTTATTTCTCGGAGCCAAACCATTCAGGGGGAATCGGTACACCCTTAGGGGGAATCGGTTCCCTCTGGGCAATCTGCACATTTTGGTTTGATTTTAATTAAGAAATGATTTTTGACTCGATTAAGGCTTGAAATACTTTGTAAATTTGTTTAACATATTTTTACACTTTAGTAAGGATTAAAATGAACTTTGAAAGACTTGGAGTAATATTTTGATATTCGAATAATTATATCGAATATACTTTAGAAAACCTTTTGTAAAATCTTAAAATTCATTTAACTTAATTTGTTATATCGAAACATCAAAATGTTTTCAACATTAACTATTCACATCCTTTTTTTCAGTGATACATAACTTAAATCATAACTTCTTTCATATTAAATGAAAATCTTATCTAGTATAATAATAATTTCAAATGATATAGAATCATAACTATTAACGTTCTTTTTTTTTCTAGTGATATATCACCTTAAGTAAGAACTTCTTTCATATTGAATGAAAAATCTTACATGGTATAATAAAATTTTCAAATTAAAACTTCATAACTATTCATGTCCTTTTCTTTTCAGTGATATATCACCTCAAAACAAAAGTTGATTAAAGGCCATAAGAGTTTCTATATATATGATTGTATTTGTTGTCCTAACTTAGTATCAATCTTTTTTATTCATTTTTACTGAACCTCATACTATCAATATGACATCTACTATTAGCTTATATGATCTTCCAAATGAAATCTTATCTAAGATTTTATGATGCGTTGTTAGGAACATTATCAAGGATTTCTTAAATCTTCACTTAACTTGTTGGAATTTTTGTTTGGTTACAAAGTCAATGGAAATATTTTCAAAATCTAAATTGTATTCATATCTATTAAAACCTCCAGTTCGTTTTGAATTCTTAATTTTACGAAAAGCTTTTCTTTTGAAAAATCCAGATGCATTATATAGAGAATGTATACTAGTGTTTTCCAAGATATTATGTCAATGTTGATCTTGAGTGTGAGATTTTGAAAGAATCATCTAGGATGGGTAAAATAGAGGCAACATATGTATTAAGAATATGATTGTTGTATTTAAAGGGGAGGTTTCGAGAATGATATAAATGTTAGAGAATCTCCCTCCAATGCATGATATAAAGAACCAAAGCCAATTTGAACATTATCAAAAAATCACTATAACAATAATATCCAAAATTCCCATAGTTACAACCATCGTTAAGCATGACAGATGAATATTCACGTGTAATTAAAATGTTAAAGGTTGTTTTTATAGATTTTGGAAAAATGAAAACAATATTATAATTGATTTTGTAAATCGTAGGAGTTAAATATTTGTATGTGTAATGTAATGTAATGTAATGTAATGTAATGTGTAATGTATAATGTATAATGTAATTTAATATAAATTTTTAAAAATCAAAATTGTTATAAGCAATTATTATTATATAACCCATCATTTCGTCATTACGAGTTTATAAGCATTATGTCTATATGAGTGATGCAAAACATCTCAAATTACATCTTCACCCATTATATCATTATTGTTCAAGTTTCTAACTTTAAGTTTGTCACGACAACAATTTCAACAACAATTTATTGTGCCAAAATCTTTCACCATCACCTTCGAAGAAGACATTCGACTTTTCGACTTGGTGACGAAATTTTCAAACAAGATTCAACACTATTATCACTACACTTAAGATTTTCTACCTCTGTGGTTCCACAACATTTATTAATGGGCTATTTGAATGATGATTCTGCAGTTCAAATAATGATTGACACATACATTACCAATTCAATGAGTAACGTTGTGCTATTTATCGAGTATCATAAGCAAGCTACTACTCCTTCCACTTCACATATTAAATTGGAAGACGTATATGATAATAAAGAAGCTGAACTTCAACAACTAAAACTATTTATATATAAAAAAAATAAGAGAAAGAATGGAGGATTTAAGAACTGAACTTAACATCTTACGAGTCAACTGACAATAAAGATTAAGATATGGGAGCGACGAGTTAATGCATCTAATATATTGTAATGTAATGTAAGTTTTAATGCTTGTAAAGTTTGTTTAAATCAAATTGTTTAGCATTATAAAGTTGGTAAATAAAACATAATATAAACCTGATAAATAAAACATCATTTTTTACATAATTAAAAAATATTCATAAATAACTTCACTTAATATAATAATTACTTAATTACTTAAGACATATTCATACATAATTAAAAACTGTTCATAAATTAATATTTTTAACACTTTTATTTTTTTAGCTCTCTGCAATTTGTTTACTACGTCAGATTGGTAAGTATTCGTATTTGTCTATCGTCTTCTTCTTCTTTTCATTTTTTTTACAATTATTTTTATTTTTTACCCCTCTATAAGTCGTTTGCTATGTCGAATTTGTAAGTCTTCATATTTATCTTTCATCTTTTTATTCTTATTCTTCTCGATTTTCATCGATTTTCCACTATTCTTCAGCTTCTTTCTTTTACTTATCTTCCTCAACCATCAACATAAATGCTTGATATATCAACTCATCATCTGAAGATGAGCTTGAATCTCAATCATCAAGCTCGAGTCATCAAAACTATAGTCACAATTCGACAAATAATACCAAACTTGATGTTACATATTCATTTTTTGATTCTCAAAACTTACTTTTTTTCCTCATATAAACACCATCAATTCACTTCTATTTATACTAAAAATTCTAAATACGTCCGTTGAAACTCATCACCTCGATGTGACGAGTTCTACTTACACTACTCGTTGTCCAATGGTTAGATAACAACTACAAATTTAAATTCAAACAAACTCGTCATCCACATGACGAGTTTCTCTGATTTTTTAAATATTTTTTAAAAAATAAATTATTTTAATTAAAAAAAAAATTAATGTATTTAAATAGAACTCGTCACGTGAGCATGATGAGTTTCAAGAAATATATTAAAATTTTTGATCCTATGGTGCCCATAGGCCTCAGTCTATTAAAAAATATTACCCGGTCAAACTCATCATGTAGGTGTGACGAGTTTATCATACACTATAGCAAATGCCATAGAATGCAAAATCATGTTGGAGTTGACCTATTGGACCAAATAAAAATTCCGCTTAGATTATTGGTCCAATTTTACCCGAAGGCAGGTTAATGATTAACATGACGAAGGAGATATACATAGCATTGGACCTAAAAAATCCAGAATTTATACAAACAAATTAACCCAAACATCCAATTTGGACCCAGACTTTAGAATGTTCTGTTCTGCCAAGTAAAAATTGACGACTTTGGTCTTCTCTTCAGTCTTATAATGAACAACTATATTCGAGCAAAGATGCAGGAGCAGACTAATAATAGACAGGGCTATCCTTAGCATATCCGGTTTGCTGGTGTTCCTTTACCTCTGTCAAGAAATTTTTGTACCAAGTAGCCGACAATTTCGGTCTTCTCATTAAGGTCTTATGGTCGACATGGTGAAGTCCGAACTTGACTGTAAATCCGCTGTTCCATTCAAAGTTGTCCAACAAAGACCAGGCAAAGTAACCCTTCACGTTTGCTCCTTTCCTAATAGCATTCAAGAGAATAACATTAATCGCTTATGTTTGAGTCATAGTTCCATTGACACCGCATAATAACCTGAAGGCTGTGTGTGTGTATATATATATATATATACCTGATTGCTGTTGCTAATGCATCCAAGTATGCAGCCATGTACTCTACTCTTTTAACATCTCGTAAACGTTCTTCTGTGATGGATTCTGCTTTATTCATATCACCATATCCTACATGGAACACTAAACATTATCAGTATATACGAAACATTTTCCTTTAGATCATACCTTTTGGTTTATCCTACCATTTTCAGTAATGATCATAGGTATGTTCAGGTATTTTTCCTTGAGATAGGTTATGATTTTCTCCATTCCTTGGGGATAAACATTCAGCCAAGCCAAGTCGGTCTGTATAGTCGAAAGGCTCCGGTTGTTAGCTTAAGTCAAGATGCAATATGGTACTATAATCACGATTTCATAAATTAAGGTTACTTACAGGTTCTCCTATGGGGATGCCATTTTTCGTTGAGCTTCGTCCCCAAAATCCTTCTGTTCTTGAGGTTCCTGGTCCCGGTTCACATGCGGAGAACATGCAATCCTGGACATAGAATCCGCTGTAGTGGTTGATTCCGATGAAGTCGAGCCCTTTATTCAGCTTCTCGGTGGTTGAAAGTTCAGGTAAAGTTGGTCCCAGAATGTTTTGCATTTCATGAGGATATCTTCCGTATATGATTGGCTCTAGGAACCTATATGCAAGTTTAGAATGCTGTAAGCACTCGCAAATGCTTAATCGGGCAGCCACCCTTATGAGGTAGCGTTCAGTTTGAATCCCGACATCCGATTTACATTCTTGTGCTCGATTCCTTGAGCTGCCGCTTCCTTTTATGATGAAATTGAAGAAGATAATGGTGAAGTTACCTACCAATTAATGGTGAAGGCTTGAACTCTTTCAGCTGCTAGCTTATCGGCTATAGAGTTGCTGATCGGTTCATACCAATCACAATGCAAGACGATTCCGATGCTACCTCCTTGCGATTCCTAGAGTTTTAAAAAATTGATGTTGTTGATCAAGCTTACTTTGCATTAATGACATTGAATTGGATGCTTAGTGCAGTAATGGTACCTGGTATTTGGTTCTGTAAATACGAACAGCGGCTAGATGTGCTAGGATGATATTGTGGGCTGCTATAAACGGCTCCTTCTCCGAATCACCATCGGTACAATTTCCGTATGGCCAGGAGCAGCGCAAAGGTGGGAATTCACCGGTACGGTACCCATACATGACTTGGTAATCAGGTTCGTTGAAGGTGATCCAGTACTTCACCCTGTCTCCAAAGGACTTAAAGCAGATATCAGCAAAATATGCAAAATCCTCCCTGCGATCGAAACAAGAGTTAAAGATCCAATGTGGGATGCCATTTTCATCCCATGAAAGAACTAAAAGTTGAACAAGATAGTTACTGTGATTGAGGAGACAGCCAACTTCCATATCTGTCCTCAAGTTCTTGAGGAAGATCGATGTGTGTCAATGTTACAAACGGTTGAATGCCTGCAGAATGTGTCGAAACCGAGTTGCAATGACCCTCTGGCCGTGACATTTACGAAAAAAAGCTTAAGAAAACCTGTCAAAGAAAGGAAAACAAACCTTTAACTAGGAGAGCATCGATAAGGTTGTCGTAGAACCCGATACCAGCTTCATTGATCTTCCCGAATCTCCCTTCTGTTGGAATTACACATCTTATTTCAGTTAACCATAACTTAAGCTTCACGTAACATCATAAATGACACATTCAAAAGACTTACTAGGTAAAATTCTGGCCCAAGAAATAGAGAACCGGTAGCTATTGACACCAAGCGAATGCATCAGCTCGATATCTTCCTATATCAGAACCATAATAAACGATAATAGACCGCTTGAGCGCAAGTCGTTTATCACTCTCGTGTGCGTTCCTATAGTTCGAACTCCAAACTTGACGCACAAGGGGATCGTTCTTTAATTTGCATACATTTCTTCTGTGTATTATGTTTCGAGATTGATTCTCGAGATAAATATTCAAAGAAGACAATTCCAATTTATACGATCATGACCAATGGAGCGGTTTTTGACACACAATCATGTGGAGTATGGAAGTAGCTAGTCATACCTGATACTGATGATAATGGTTCACAGCTATGTCTGCATTGCTTCCATCAATAATTGTATTTCCTGTGATATCAATCATATATCATGTTGAAGGGTTGATTTTCTCTTTGTTTATTTTAATAAAAGGGATTGCAAAGTTATTCATACAATGCCAGCCAAAAGGTTCAGAAAAGAAGAAAAAAATAGTTTAATACCAAAAGAAGTGCCCAAACCATACCCAAAATCTCGAATAGGTGCCTAAATTATTTTTTGACCCACCCAAGTACCTAACGTTACAAACATTACACATTTAGGTGCCCGGGCCGCCAACGACATTAATTTCTCTCGTTAAGTGACATGTGTCACAATCTAGTGGATTTGAAATTATTTTTTTAAATATTATTGTATTTATAAAAAACTCTAATTTCTATAAAATTATAACAAACCTCAAAATATCTAAAATTCCAAAATCCTATCCTTAACCAACTGTTGATGCATTTTCCCACCACGACCACCGCCGCCAACTAGAGGTGGGTATACGAGCTACCCACCCGTTTAGTCCGCGGGTTTTGACGGTGCGGGTTTAAACGGAGTGGTTTAAAAAGCCCGCAATCATAAACGGTATTGAATTTTAAGGCCCGCGACCCGTCCGTTTAACCCGCGGGTTAAACGGGTTTACTCGCGGCCCATTAAATAAAAATAATTTTAAATGCTTTAAATGCAATAAAAAATAATGTTCTAACTTGCTATACCTTTAAAAATGATTCAGTAACTTGAAAAGGAATGTAGCACCGTCAAAATAATAAATAATATTTAAATTTTATTTGAAATAGCCGGAAATGATTATAAAATAATATATTTTTTAATTTTTTAATCATTATATATATATATATATATATATATATATAACGATATAATTACTTAAACTCAAATTAAAAAAAATAATATTCACTTGTATCACCAAATTAAAAAACAAATAAAAAAATAACCACATTATACTTTTATAAAACACGATTATTCAAGGCTATAATATGAAGACACAAAAGTGTCTGCAAGCAGAAATTCAAACAGAAAAATTCAACAAAGTCAAACATTATACAAATCTAACAATTTTTCTTTTGTAAAAGTCTTTAAAAGTTGAAAAAGTATGTTTTCAATTGTAAATTTTATAAGGCTAAAATACTATATAAATCTTTTAACTATTATTTTTTAAAATGAAGAATAATTTGATACATTGTAAATGAAAAACAAATATCAAGCAACGGTAGAATTATGACAAATGCCCTAATAAATTTAAGAACTACAATGGTTATAAGTAACATCATATTTATAGGTAATTTTTTTTTCTATAAAATTATTTAAGTTTATTTTCTCTAAAATTTTATAAATTTTAAATTAAGCGGGCTATTGCGAGTTTCGCGGGCTACCCGCGGTTATACCCATTAAACTAGCAGGTTTAACGGTATGGGCTAAAAAAACCCACAATTTAAACGAGCTTCAATTTTTGATGTACAAAACCCGCACGGACCGCGGGTTAAACGGGTAGCCCGCGGACCTTAGCACATATACCCATCTCTACCGTCGACGTAATCCCTACCATCCTCCTAGCCATATGTCGTCGTAGTTATCGTCGATTGACAATCGAGATTACGTGGAATCACGATTTTCATCCAAAGTTTCGCGGAGTATAAAACATTGGTTCGTCTTTGATCGGTCATCAATCGGTCAAAATTTTATGGGAGTTTTGGTCGCTGAGGGAAAATGAGGTTGGTCATTATATTGACACGTGTCCCTTAACGAAAGAATTAAAGTCGTTGAAGGCAGGACAACGTTTATAAATGCTAAGCATCTGGATAGGTGAAAAAATAGTTTAGTCACCAATTCGAGATTTTGGGTATAGTCGAAGCACTTATTATTTTGGTATTAAACCGAAAAAAGGGCAAGCCAAAAGTAGAAAACTTAGATTTTCTAGCTTACGAATTTTAAAACCAGCAGGACCCTCTCACCATACACATAGCTACGTCCATGTACATATTTATACTTTTTTTATGGAATTAATATAAAAAATTAACATTAGGACTAAAAATACACATTTCGAGAAGTACAACAACATGAAAGGACCAAAATAAGGTAAAGAGACAAAATCCTAAAAAACAAATAGCACATGGATCTTTTATAAAATTTAACCATAACTACAACCAACAACCACAAGGGAACAACGACAAATGGTGGTTCTAAAGATGGGAGTGATGGAAGTTACCTGGTTTATGAGAATAAACATCCCAATTGTTCAAACTTTTACCATCACTCAAGTAAGCACCCTCATACTGCCAAAACCCAGATTTTATTTTAAACAAAAGAAGATAAAAAACTGTATTTTTAATGGTTTTAACAGATTAAAGACCAGTGAGGCAAACCTGATATGCAGAAGAGGCTGTTCCAAAGAGAAAATTTGTAGGAAACACAGACAAATTATCATTGCTCTGTCTGAAATTTAAAAGATCGCATGGAATGGAAGAAGGCAAGAAGAGAATATGTAAAAGAAAGACACCAAAGTTAAGCTTCAAGGCGACATCCATGGCGATTACCTAATTCAGAACAAATCTTGCTGATGTACGTGTCTGATATAGACATTGCCAAAAGCAGACATTTAAAGTTACGAGTGAAAAAGTGGATGAGATGGGCTCTGCTTCTCTGCCTACGAAACGATGTGACAGAATACCTACATCAACTTGTTTGATGTAAAAATTGTCAAATGCAGCCGTCCTTTCTCACATCAAATTAAATTTCAGTTTGGTTTTAGAATGAAAATTAAAGGCAAAAAACACCCAAAGCCCCTGAACTTTTAGAAAAAAATTAAATGTGACCCTCATTTTATTTTATTTTTTATCAATGTATCATTTCAACTTGAAAAAAGAATTTAATGTGATCCTTTAATTAATATTTTTATTATTGGCCAACGCTTCCATTAATTTCTGCTGTTATTAATCAGGTAAATTATACAATTCATTACTTAATTATCTTCTCTCTTCTATTTTGGTCACTAAACTCTAAATTTTTTTAATTTAATCACTCAACTTTTGAATTACTCTTATTTTAATCACCATAATTTATTTTATTAATATTTATGTATGATGTGATATTTATTATTATTATTTTATTAATATATAATTAAAAATATTAATTTAATTTTATTTAATGAAATTAATTTTTTTATTTAAATAAAAAATATTCTCAAAACCCTAAATCACAACCCAACCCCACCTTTACTACATTTTGCCAATCAGATTACGCTTGGGACATCTTCACCCTTCCAACTTCGGACTCACCAAATCCTTCAAATGATGAACTGGGTTTTCCCAAGAATGATGAACAAGATGAACTTTTCATAGAAAAGTTCAAATCCCCATTTGATTCAAAAAGTTTATGCAATTAATTTAATTAATATTATTTTACTTATATATTAATAAAATAATAATAAATGTCACATCATATATAAATAATAATAAAATAAGTTTTGGGGATTAAAAGAAGAATAATTCGAAAGTTGAGTGATTAAATTGAAAACTTTTTAAGTTTGGTGACTAAAATGGAAGAGAAGATAGTTGAATTATAAATTATGTAATTTACCCAATTTCTAACAACATTAAACGGGTTAGCCAGGCAAGTTGACATGTCATGTCAGCCGAAAATAACGATTCTGTTGGTCAAATGGTCACATTGATAGAAAAAACAGGTTGAGTGTCATATTGATTTTTTATAAAAAAAAATTCAGGGCCTTGGGTGCCTTTTTGCCAAAATTAAAATATGAATTAAATAAAAGACTAAATTGAATTTTCTAAGAGTTGATGGATTCAAATTGAGATTTATTCCTCTATGAGTTTAATTCAAATATTCTTTCAGGACTCCACTGCATCATATGATGTTTTGGTCGCACTTAGAAAACTCATTCCACACACTTGCTTTTGGTAATTTTCTATCATCTTCATCAAAATTTTCCTCTCTATAAAGGATTGGATAATAAGAGATTTTTCAACGTATTGGTATCGTGAAAGAGAGATAAAAGAGATGTATTTATTCATTGATGTATATGTGATCTAAAAGAGATATTTTGGCACATGGAGTAAATAATAAAACGCTTTTCTTATGTTATCTTTGGCATTGATACACAAGTGACATAAAAAAGACGTATTGGTGTCGTTGAATTCAAGACATTTTTCGTGTATCTTACAAATATATACACTAAGACGTATTGGGGTTTTATTTGAAGTTGGACGTGGGGTTCTCCCATTTCATCTTTTCTTCCTCCTTTCTCCATCTTCTTCCTCCTTTCTTCATCTTTGATAGGGAAGCGGTGACGGATTGATTAATGTTGCTCTTGTTGAAGAATGAAACCTAGAAAGCTCTAGACTCGATGAAGAACAATGGGGAATGAATAGGGGAAGGTGGCGGCAGCAAGTAAGGTTCTTAGAGTTTCTTTAGGTGCTGGAAACAAGGTAAGAAACAGGATTAAAACAAGATAAAGGAATTGCAAATAAAATAAGATAACCAAGAAATCAAAAGATCTCCCTTATGAAGGTGAACGGTAAAGATGATTGATGGCGTGGATGGATATGCAGAAAATCGATGGATAATGTCCTATCGAGCCCTCCTAGTCGCAATGAAAAGGCAAACACGATAATATGGCTCTAACCAACCCTCCTAGTCACAATGAAAAGGCAAATTGGAGTGTGAAGATTAATCTCCCTCACAAGAACTTGAAAGAACTCCAAGAGAAGAAGCTTCGAAGGCACAAGGCAATCAGCACTTGCAAAAACGAACTCTCGTTGTATTATTAATCAAAGAAATCTTGATTTACAAAGTTGAATGAAGCCTCCTTTATATAGGGGCTGAGTTCTAAAGGTCCTAAATAACTAATTAATAAAATAATAATAAACTAAACATGTCTTAACTCTAATTCCTAATAAAATAATAATAACTAAAACTATTGTTTCAACCCAACCTTAATTCCTAATAAAATAATAAATCCGATCCTAAAATATAATTCATCATCCTATATTAAATTATATCACAAATAATCAATATAAATATTGAAAATTCGTAATATTTACAAAATCCCGTATTAATCCCGTTTAGGATTTACTGCATGCATCGTCTTCAGTAAAATGGCCATATATTGAGTTCCCGATCTCGGATTGATACGATTCAAGAACCATTGGAAATATAAGAGACATACGGTCGTTTCTACAGAAGACATCTTGACCAAAAACAATCAGGATCACATTCAAAAAGTCATCGTAAGTCTGCTTCTGTTCTGATCTTCTTTTCCAAAGCTTGGACGGGTGGATCATTAGGAAGAGTTATTACTTTTTCCTTTGATGTGAGCCTTGTGATGCATGTATCATCCTCCCTTTCTTCAAAAAGATTCGACCTCGAATCTGAAACATTAAAGCGAGTAACATTAGAATAGTTTAATGATTCATTCACATGATGCTTACCGAGTAGATATGCTTTGAATCTTCGAGACTTTGTTCTTCTAATAGGTTCAAGTAGAAACATTAGTCCAAAGAAGCATGTATTATGGACTCTGGTGCATGTATCATTCCCCCGCTCCTTAAAAGGATTCGTCCTCGAATCTAAAAATCCAAGACAAAGAGAATTAGATATATTGAAAGGAAAACTTGTGAAACATTTATCAGGATCAATGTGATGTGTCTTTATGCGTTTCAGTCGAGGTTTCTTCTTTGTAGGAACTGATTTCTTGTAGTCTTGAAATCCTCTTTTGCATACAAGTCTTGTAATCTGATGTTTAGGTTGAAATTCAACATGGCGCCGACCACTGTTTGCTTTCTGTATGATTGCTTCAGATAATTTCTCCATGGTTTTATTCGTGTGTGGTGAGAATGAGTGTTTAAAAACCATGTCAACTGTTTGTTAAAGTAATCCCTTAAGTCTCCTAAGTGTGGTTCATGAATTAAGAATTCTCGGCAGAAGATTTGTGGATTGTAGAACCTGTTTAGTTGGCAAGGAAACTCATATACAAGATAAAACTCATTAAAAGCACTTTTAAAAGTATGGGTAGAAATATCAGAAATATCCGAGTTATCGTGATATACATCTTTTATATGTTCAATTCTTGGAATAGTAGCATGCTTAAGAGTATACCTTCGTGGTAGTGCATTGTCTAATGTGTTTTGCTTACCTCGGTCTGTTACACACTTAAAGGAGTTGTGTTTAGTATGGATGACAACTTCACGAGCCTTGCCTTCTAAGAAGGAGAAGAAGTATGTTACAATGTCATTAAAATGAGTAATAAAATACTTACCTTTGGACTCCCGTAAATCGTGACTCTTCATTGATATGGCATAGTGATTAGGGCTTTCAGGTGGTAACCCGTCAGGAGGGTCACCTAATATTATTCGACAACTCTTGGCTATGGAAGATGGTGTGGGCCAGTCTCGTGTTGCTTTTACTATTTCATCATTTACATGGATTTCCTGTGCATGAACTATAAAGCATGTAGAGTTGTTCAAATCATGTTTCGTCATTAAGATGGTGTCACGACTAAGGCTTTCCTGGATGTAGCCTTTTTGTAACAAATCCAACTCTTTGGTTTCTTCGAGATTGTATGTTTGACGAGGTATGATGGAACCTTGAATTAGATTGGTTTGGCATTGTTTTCCTCTTTTCAGTGGTAGTTCGTTAGGTAGATCACGTAACACTTCTCGAAAATCCTGTAAAAGAGATGAAAACACACTAGGCAAATCCTTGTTAATGTTAGAAATCGAAACAATTGATTCCCTAAAGCGACAAAGATGCAAGGTTGTTTGTAAAGAAGGTTCTCTCTCAATTCTTTTGTGCTCACACATAAATTTTGAGTCACTCTTTTCTTTTCACATTTAGGTTCACTCACCTCCCATGTGTCATTATTCTTTTGGCTTTTATAACTGGTGACCTCTTTTGCTTTTGCCTCTTTCTCAACTTTTTCTTTTTTTGCTTTCCCTACCTCCTCACAAATTATCATTTGATCTTTAGGGTCTGGAAGTGTGTCATTCTTTGTTGGTCGTTCTTTTTCCTTGTCAGGTTTTTCATCTCTTGGCTTTTTCAGAGAAGATGGAGTAGAAGATGAGGAAGGATTTAAAGGATTACCTTGGTAAGAGGATGAAGTACCTTGGTAATGTTCACTGAATCGAGATCTCCTTTAGATTTGTGCTTCGATTGTCATTGCTTTCTTTAGTGTATCTTCAAGGTTTTCGTACCCTTGTAGATCAAGAAGATCTGTGATGTTTGAGTTTAAGCCGACGATGAATCTTGACACGGTGACTTCTCTTTTTCGGTTATGTTAGCCCTATTGAGTAAGGACTGCATCTCCTTGTAGTAATCTTCAACTGAACTTCTACCTTGTCGAAGTCGGTGTAGTCGTAGTTTAACTTATCGTGTATAATGTATCGGTAGGAATCGCTTCCTCATGGTTTGTTTGAGGTCGGTCCAAGAAGTGATTGTTGGAATTTGGAAGTTCTGGATCTTTTTCCTTGGTTGCATCCACCAAGTTCGAGCATATCCTTCGAATTGTGTGGTGATGAGGTGAACTTGTTTAGCTTGG